GTGGAGGCGACGCGGGGAGAACGCGTTTGGGCGCACAGATGCTGAGCAATCACGGCTGAATCGACCGTTTTGCGAGATCGTTACGTGTTGGAGCTGGCACGAGACCGACCGCCTTTTCAACCCGATGCCTCTGTCTTGCGATGGCCTGCTCAAGATGAATGCCATCTAGATCCGGATTTCTGGTAGAGTAACAAGCTTCATCGTCCAGCTTGCATATCGAGAGGCATACCGAGCAGCCACCGCGCGTCGCATATATTAACAGCGCGTATCTGCCGGTCCGCGGACGCCCATGCCGCCAGCCCCCGCCTCTTCGAGTTGGCAGCCCATGAGTGTGGAGACTCCACAGCGGGATGTTAGCGCGTCGTTTGCATTTTGCCTAAATGCTCTACCCTCGGCGTTCACATGGTGCGAAGGATCACGGCGATGCGGCGCTGCGGCGCTGCGGTAAGATCGGAGCCTTTGTCGCCAGGTCAGTCACGGGACGCGATCGAAGACTCGGTTCCGACCTTTATTTCCGTGAGGATTGGATGAGCGAGATTCGGCCGTGAGGTAGAGCGAGCGTGTAGAGCGGACGACGCGAAGATGACCACACAGATTGTGGGTTGAAGCGTTCGGGCCCACTGGCTGAGGATGCAGCCAATCACGATGAGGTCAGCAGCGACGTCATGCACTTGCCGACCTCCGATGCCATCGCCATCGACCAGACTCGAGAGTGCACAGCTTCCCGTTCTCATGCTCCAACGCCACCTCATCGCTAAATTGCTTCCAAAAGCTCGAAGACATCTTTGAACTGAGACACGCAACACGAAGGAAAGTACTGTCGTGCGATGCTGCAGATTGAGTGCGGCGGTACGCTAGCCCGAGTGCACGTCAGTGGCTCAGCAGTCTGCATCCCAGCGCCTTCCTGCTTTCTCATACGCATCATCCTTTCCATCGCACAGGTTGGGGCTTTATTATACGTTCAAGAGCCTTCGCCCCATCCTTCAGCGACTCAAGGCGAGGTTCTGTTGTGTAGCATCTATAGTCACGTGCCAAATGTTGACCTGACATCGAAGAGTGACTCCGGGCCAGGGGGCTGGATGCTGTGGCTCCGCTGCCTTTGTTGCATTGTTGGCATAGCCAGCCAATGAGCAGCTTCGAGGCTTCCAGGTTTGAGAACGGTGCCCCCATCACCTGATATGCCGTAAAATACCCGTGGGGAACGCCAACAACGACCAACACTCACACCGAGCGACGCTGGTCCCAACGACTTCTTAAAGTACTTCGCGTTCCCCTTCAGCTTTGGCTAACTGATACTTCGAAAATTCTACGTGTGCGATAACTTCACTTCGTATCTATCCCCCACCTCCAATTTACGTCTCCGTCCCGCATCTCCGTGCTGCGTTCCGCTTCCTGCGTGCTGCGTCTTCAATCTCCACCTCCGGCCTGCGTCTACTTCGATAAAATCGAACCAGTGGGCGTTGACTCATGTACCAGCGCCAACATCCGCTCAAAACGAGATTTGAAACACCTTTGCGAAGTCGAAGACATTGAGACCGGCGCATTCATACGATGCACCTTCGCGTACATCGATGATCACGAGAGAGCATGGTTCGGTCAGACGACGGATATGAGAAAATATGATCTGACTGTTGAGGATCTGAATCGACTCTTGCAACAAGTCCCCGACGAGAAGATATATCCGCTGAAGACTACCAGTCTATCCATAGTACCAGAAGAAACCAGGGACAAGTCCTACATCAAGCGACCCAAGCTATTGTGTCTGGACAATGAAGCGGAGACAAAGCTTCTGCCCCAGCTGCTACTCGGAGAAGCAGAGGTGTTACAGTTCCTCGAAGAGAATCCCCATCCGAACATTATCAGGTTTCATGGTTGCACTGTTAATCGCAGTCGTGTTACCGGTATTGCTCTGGATAAGTACAGTGTTATTTTGCAATACCGTCACGAGGATGTCCTACAGTCTCTTGATATAGAGGCTTGCATGTGCGGTATTCTTTCGGCTCTGAAACACCTTTATTGTCTTGGACTCGCGTATAACGATCTCAATCCCACAAAAATCGCTCTTGACGGCAATGACAACCCAATCCTACTGGATTTTGGGTCTTGCAGAAGATTTGGTGAAGTCCTTCTCACCGGAGGTACACCTGGCTGGACAGATGAGGGTTATATATTCCACATCAGCTTAACGTCACGACGAACTTGCTGCGGAGAAGGTAGAGGCGTGGTTTCTGAGTAAGGCACATGACCACGTTTACAAGTATGGAGATTAGAGTGTACGTAATAGCCTAGTCGCCTGCAGACTGCTTTAACAAGCACTTTGATGTGTGTAAGACCTTATGTTACCCTCGCCCCAAACACATGAAGCAATCTGTAAGATCGACCACTCATCCTTGAACCTTTGATATCTTCATATCCTGCCTCTAAACGTGGTCGAAATCGGCTACTGGGCAGGCTCAGGTTCTTTGTTGGGGTTGGGCCTGTCGGTTCGGGTTACTCGCAGAGTACCGGCACCTTTCGTTCCCACAGTCGCTTTGGTCGGTGAATGTTGTATGCGTCCAATGGCCCCGCGCATCCTGCGTCGAGAGAATCCTGGTGGAAAACGTGCACCTCATTCTCTATTAGTGAGATATATCGCAATTGAAGGGTACTCACATCTTCGATAGAGCTGCACTGACGACGAGTGATGCTTGATTGAGTTCTGTGCGTAAAAGTTTTGCAAACTTGAAGATATTATAGTCAGAAAGGGCTGGATAGACGCAGTAGTAGTAGTAGTAGTAGTAGTAGCAGTAGTAGTAGTAGTAGTAGTAGTAGCAAGTATAACAGACTTAATCAAAAGGTCACAAAGGTAGTAGTTTTTGGAGATGCGAAACTTCTCTCTTTTATAGAGTATCCTCTTCTACGTGAGTCAAACAGATGAAGACATCGTGGACTCAAGCAGCGTGACTGTGCTGACTCTACAATATATATTCCGAATCATCGAGTTGGTGCTGTAAGCAACCGTAGGTGTCGACATGTATATATGTAGGATAAGTATAAGGTGAAGACATCGTGGACTCAAGCTTCATGACTGTGCTGACTCTACGACATGTATTCTGAATCATCGAGTTCGTATTGCAAGGAACTGTGTATTTATATAGAATAAGTATGAGGTGCAGGGCTCTCGCAGCCTGCTCGCGATTGGGTGGGTCAAATAATTGTGGGGCACAAAGCCGAAGCGCCGAGCGGCCGAGCCTGCCAATGGACACCAACAATCGACTCGGAAGAAACTGGGGGCGGTTGCAACAATACGCACAGTGCTTGTTCGCACAATGCTCCTTCCACGAATTGCTGAGCACACACCCCTGAATTGAACAAGGTACGTCGCCACAGTCAGTGCGATTCAAAGGCCCTTTGAGTCTGGCACATGACTCCCTGTCGCGTTTCCCCCCTCTAGCACTCTCCAGCCCGAATGCTAGACAAGCTCGCCTCGACTTGCAGCCCGGGTAGTTAACCCTTGCACTTCCACTCAAACTCTACTTTACTTGTACGTGTGGCGGCCTCTCCTGCGTCTTGTGTATCTTACCTTCCTTGGCAGCGTACAGAGTCACGGCGCTTGAGCAATTCACTAATAACACAGTGACACTGTCGAGTGGTGACAAATACCACCAAATGACTCCCTTGCCGCACGATTACATCAATTGAATCATCAATTCGTCAAGAAAGAGGTGGCAGAGCTCTTGTGACACTCTCGGAAATGAAGACAGCCGACATATTCGACCCATTCTGATATGACTGTTCCATCCACATTGGCGCATATTGCTCATCATCAAGCCTTCAAAGACGCGAGAAAGGCCTCTGTGTAAGACCTTCTACCAAGACCGCGACGGTGTTGGTCGTTCGTCTTCATATCGAGTTGAATCGCCCCCGGAAAAGCTGCAGTCCTCACGTAGCGCCCACATTGAACTCTTACGATCGGCTCACCGTTTTTAATCAACAGCGGCGGTGAGGGTCTCGGGTTGAGACCTGTGCAGCTTCTGACGTGGAAACCCTCAGTGGTCCCGATCGAAGTGCTTCCATCTTGATGGAGGGGTGCAGTTGACCGGTAAGCATGCGTCCAGTTCTCAGATATAAGAGACATGTGTGGCACCGTATCTGTATCTCTTAGCATCTTCAGAAACATTATTCTTTGCAATCCACACTACAATCACCAGTACCCATATATCGCACTCACGGCCTGAAGACGGAGATGAAGCTACTTCAAGCGCTATCCCTCGTACTGATTCTTTGCAGGGTTCACGCATTCCTACCCCACGACCTTTCCGATCTTGTTGTGTGGAGCCTGACGCATTACTGAATGGCTGATAACTAATGCATATGCAGACGAAGAGCGTTTGGTACCCAGAGATCTTCCACCACCTGCTTCCAATCCTTCCAGCACCGGTATCGTTCCCTCTGGAGCACCTGCATCTTCGCTCGGAACCGCCTTTTCGACTAGTCTTGGCACATCGGCGACGTCTTCCACCAGAGTTCACACGTCTTCAGGCACAGCGCCGGTAGTCGTGAGCTCTCTCGTAATCCCATCGGCAGCAACCTCTTCCAAATCTTCGAGCGCTTGTGGTCTTCCTAGCTCGAACATTTCTAGCGTCGTCTACGCCAGCGCGATAAGCCTAACTGCAACGAGCCAGCTTCCTATTGTCGCACCAACCACAGGCGGGATAGCTCCCAATTCCTCTTCTACAACTCGATCAATTAGTCCTCAGCCATCATCGTTGCACTCGTCCGCTGCTCGATCATCCGCTTCTCAAAGCTCACAAAGTCTCCAAAGCCCACAATCCTCAAATTCGCTCTTCACCTCTTCGACACTAGCACGACCATCGTCCAACACTGCGCTACCATCGTCACTTATATCTGCCACGCCCACTCTGAGTCTTGTAACAACCACTGTCACGGCTTCTAACGGTGCACCAAGCACAGTTGTCATCACAGCCAGTCAGCAACCTCAGACCAGCAAGGTTGGGACCATGTCTTCGAACCAGCCATCGCAAGCTTCTACTGCCCCTGCAGCTATCCCATCTGATACTAGTCTCGAAGCTATCATTGGTGGCATTGGCTACAGTCTTCCCTTCTCGGATGAAGACTCGATCGAAGTAATGCTGCTTGATGGCTCCGTTGCACAGCTCTTTGCCAGCAAGATCATCGTCGGAGATCAGACTGTGACCTTACCCTCGGACTTGAGCAGCGAGACCACGCTCCCCGGGGGTATCAGCGCCAAGCCTGCCGAAGCTACAACACCTGATGAGGACGACGATGACAATGACGGCGGTGGTGGTGGGGTCGGTGGCCTTTTCGGTGCTCTTGGAGGCATTGCAAAAGGTGCGACATCCGCGCTCGGCGGGGCTATCGGCGGTGTGGATGCCGTCACGTCAGGTGCCCTGGCATTTGCTGGAGGGACAGCTGGTGCTATCTCCGGTCCACTTACAGGAGCCATTGGTGACACGGGCAAGTTTGTTTCCTCCTTGAACGGTATACAGAAGTCGATCCCCGGAGACGAGCTCACGAAAGGTGCTTTCGACACATTCACCCGTGCCCATCAACTCGCTCGTCAGTCTTTGAACTGGATGAAGTCGACGCAGAACTTAGCTCAGAACTTTGACGACTTATCATCCGACGTCCAATCCAAAGTCATGTCAGGCGCGGGCGAGTTCGTAAAGGCTGGTGGTACTTTAGCTCAGTGCAAAACTGCAATGGAGGCCTTCCAGGACTTTCCTTGGGAAGACGCCGAAGTACCGAGTCAGACAGCTCAACCTAGTGGGACAGACAAGCCTACCGAAACAGCCTCGACGCAGAGTACCAAGGGAACTCCCACCGCGCAGACTACTTCTAAGCAGTCGACCACGGATATGACTTCCACGACACAGAGCGCGAGCTCCACTGTTACTTCGAGCCAGACATCGTCATCTAGTAGTGAGACACCGACACCCACAGCCGATCTCAAACGAGAGTACATGATTTCTTCCAAATATGGCACGCCTTGGACAAGTTTCAAAACCCTCATTGACAACCTAGACGGAGGTGAGGGATTCTTGGCCAGATTCGACAGTATTGAAAGTTACATGTACGTCACCATGCTCAACAGTAAGCAAGCAGCAGAGATAGCCGATTCGCATGACTGGATTTTCTGGATCGGTCTCAACGCAGGCGGAGCGCTGGAAGAAGAGCTAGAGGACTTCGCAGAGGAAAGACGAGACTCCAGTGTTGACCCTGTACAGTGGTACCATATCGCTAGCGAGCACGACACGCCATGGGAGAAGTTTAAAGCCTTGATCGACACACTTGACGGGGTCGAGAACTCACTGGTTAGATGGGACTATATCGGAAGTTATATGTACGTTGCGAAAATGACAGCCACGCAAGCGAAAGAGATTTCTGAATCCCATGACTTCATCAAATGGATTGGTATCAACGATGGCGGAGTGCCGGGAGAAGAGCTAGAGAATGTTGCAGAGCAAAGACGAGCTGTCAGTGTAGCGCAGGCTGGACAAAGGTCGCTATCAGAAACGCCAAAGCCGCCCAGAATACCTGCATCGACGATCGTGCATCCCGAAACCACATCTGGAGATGACCACCATATTCCGCCGAATGACATGGTTTCGTCGAGAATGACTGAACATCGTGGGAATGAACTACCCGCAAGTATCGAACTCAGCGAGAGCTCTACTAGCACTTCGAATCGAACTTTGTCATCCAGTAGTGAGACGCCGATCGCGACTGCAACAACCGAGCAAGAGTATGCGATACACAGCAAGAATGATACCCCTCCCGATGTCTTCAAGAGTTTCATCGACGAGCTAGACGGAGGGAAAGGATATCTATATATCTGGGAGGCTCTTGGTGGGCAGCTGTACATAACTTTGCTCAACGCTGCACAAGCAAAGGAGCTGCCCGAGAATCACGACTTCATCGAGTATGTCTTTCGAAACACGATTGCGGAGGCTTTCGAGGGTGACGAAGCATCTTAAGTGACGCAATCTGTACAAGCCGGAAACGAGGCTAACCCAGTAAGTGGTCCACCAATTTTATTTCGTTTGCTCACATAGTCAGAATGAACGCGCCGTCGCTCGTACAGTCGACACTGTGACTACGCCAAACCTGCTGACATTCGGCGACTTCGACTTTGAGCGGCATAGAGACGAGAACTTCTGGATCGGCGAGGATGGAACGATGTAAAATGGCCATGTGTTGTTCATCGCCACTCTAGCTTCACTTTGATAGATGCTTCACCATGGAACAGTTGGCCACATACCGTGTTCACAACTGATACTCTTTCAATTCCATCCTACAATACCCTCCGCTAAAGTCAAAGGTTGCTGTGCTGACCCTGTCATGACCGAAATCCTTCTTCCGACAATTCCTTTGTCACCAACGCCGAGGTGCAGTTTCTCTGGTAGTTGCATAAAACCTCTTTGTGGCGACTCTATTTCAAAAGAGTACAAAGCATCCAATGCGCCTTGTTGCGTTGACGAGCAGAGATCACCGTCACAACTAATAGCATCGTCAGCATTGCGCTAGCCCTTTGGAAGAACGCAACCGTGACGGACTGAACTCACTGTATGACCAGCCGGTGGCTATCCTGTTGCAAAACGTCGTCGAGCCCTTGGCATTCAACGTTGGTCCCGCGTTTTGACAATGGGTTGGTAAAGAGTAGAACCATCTCTTGTTCTTGATGTGTGTGCGCTAGGTGGGATGTTGGTCGCAGTACTGCTATCGAGCCTCCTTGGCTGACGCGCGTTGAGCTGCCGTTGCACATTGCTAGACTCTGGTGAAGGAGACCCGAAGGATACAGGGATATGAACTCGGCCTTTCAACAGTAGAAGAATGACGATGGAAGAGCGTAGTTGGGTGAATGGACAGTGTGTAAGTATACGAGTGTAGGAAGTCAAGCCTAAGATCGATCGGCGCCGAGGGGTAGGAAATTGCGAGCGAATGATTATCGATGGTAGCAAAGATGCAAAGGCTTTGTAGTCTACGCACTGTTTCAGTGACATGTGTTGCAATGTTTGAGATTTGAGAGTGAATGCGTGTCTTTGAGCAAGTTTCGGAAGAGTACCCGATTGGTCAAGCTCGGGCGCTAAGATCCACCATGGTGCTCTTCAGTGAAGGTATGTATGTATGTCAAGTCGCGATCGCAAAACCATCATATCATTCACATCGTTTCGTGCTGCCCCTACATGATGTCTCCGCCCGCTTACATGGACGCCTTGAGCACGCTGAAAGCATCGGCGCGCGATCCTCGGTAACGCTCCTCCGCCGTCTTCCAATTGATGACATTCCAGATGTTTTTGACATATGCAGCTTTGCCGTTCTGGTACTGGAGGTAGTATGCGTGCTCCCACTGCATGTCAAATTAGTCGCCTGTGGCCTCAAGGGTCGAAGAGCCAGCAACTCACCATATCAACACCGAAGATCGGAACTTCGCCCTTGCCAACGACAGGGTCTTGATCCTTGGTCGTCACAATAGACAGCCGCTGCTCTTTGCCCATATCGGTCTTGACCAGCCAGCCCCAACCACTTCCCTGTATGCCGAGCAGAGCGGCGTTGAAGGCTTCCTTGAACTTGTCCTCGTCACCCCAGGTCGCCTTGATCTGCTTGAGCAGCTCAGGAGCAGCGGAGCTCTTGGCCTCATCCGAGCTTGCAGGTGCGAGGTTCTGCCAGAAGAGGGAGTGATTGATGTGTCCGCCTGCGTTGAACTTGATTCCCTGTTGTATTGAGACCTGCGAGGTGATGTCCGAGGTAGAGACAGCTTCGGCCTGGGTCTTGAGAAGACCGTTCAAGTTCGTGATGTAGGTTTGATGGTGCTTGCTGTGATGCAGCTCCATGATCTGGGCGGAGATGTGCGGTTCCAATGCCTAGAACTGTGAGCATACCGTGCGCGGGGTAACAACGTCATCTCAGGCTATACTAACATCGTAGGCATATGGTAGCGGAGGAAGCGTGTATTGGGGTGCAGACATGGCGCCGAATTCGAAGGGCTGTTGTTCTAAAGCAAAGACTGTGGATGTAGAGAGAAGAGGAAAGAGAATGGTTGAGAACGTCGATATGCCCCGCATCGTGCCTGCCCCTCACGCAATCGATACGTATAGAAGCCGGGTACGTTCGTCAGACTGCCAGGTCGTCACCAACAGGGTGCTCTGGATGTATGCTGCCGAATTGGGTCTAGTGCACTAGAAACTGCCTCAATTGAGCGCGATGCCACTCGAATGCTCCACTATGTCTGTACTGGAATCTAAACCCAGGTAGATGACGTATAGACAGACGTTGTATTAATTTCTGCAGCAATGCCTGCTGATCTGACAAAGAGGAGAACGTGCGATGGCCAGCTACAGGTAGCTGCTCACGTGTGAGTAGCTTCAATGGCGAGGCAGCAAACAGGAGGCGATGCCAATGCTCGCATGAATGACGGACTAAAGGTAGCACAGCTCTTGTTGCGCAACTTGACGGGGATACGATGTGACGAAGGCGCGGTGTTGAGTGGGAGATGAGGTGAGCGAACGGCAGTACGTGTTGTTCCGGTCGGACCTCGGGGATTCCAAAGTTGACGCCGTTGTGAAACACGATCTAAGCTCTGTTGAGCTTAGCTTGATGTCGTGATCGTCATAAATCGATTGATACTGCGGACGAAGAAAGTAACTCTAGTGCGATGGTTGTACCAACGAGGCTATACATGCCTCTCATTGGTGAGCGATATCGCTACAGCGGCAGATACCTCAACACATGCCTTTGTAGTCCCTCCTTCTCAGCTTCAACTGCGCATTCGCTCGCAGTCCATTCCTCCTGTCTCCTCTTTCAGCCTCGACATCCCTGTCCTCAGCTAGCAGCATCTGCCTCTTTATAGCTGCTTCACTTTCCGTCGTGAGAGTACCACACCTGCACCCATACCTCATGCGCGACATTCTCGCTCTCTTTCTCTTCTTCCACATTTTCCTGCCTTTTTCCCAGTCAAACTCGAAGCTTTTCGCCTCCATATCCTCTGCGACTAACTCTATTACTTCGTGCGGGTCGGTAGGGGCATGCATGTGGGTGAAGCGCATGTGCCTGGTCTCGATCGTGCTACAGCCCAGTGCCCTCATTTGGTCGACGAAACGAGGAGGCGGTGATCGAGCACGATCACACCGATCACGGGCCGGCGCCCTGTGCTTTCTGGGTTTACCGATGCCTTTCACTTCTTCTTCACGGGCAGGGTTCTCCCAACGGTCGAGCATGACATATGTGTCCTGTCCCAGCGTAACAAGTTCGCCGTGACTATCACTCTCGAGGAGCACAAAGCCGCCAAGTTTCCGTTGATCAATAAACAGGTTGTGTCTCTCAGTGCACATCGCCATGCTCGGACTGGACTCGATCTGATCGCGTTGCTCCTCAGTGAGCTTGCCCGGAAACTGCATCAAAGTGACACTCGGCCAGGATCGAGCTAACCGGGCGCCTCCAGAGTAGCAACCGGGCATGTCATACTGTATGATCTTTGTTTTTACTACTGAGGATGACAGCAGCTCCAGCTTTTGATGGAGATGGCGATGTCTGTCCATATCGACATGCGCATCGTAGGCAGACTTGTGGGTCCAGGATATCCAGAGGTATAGTTCAGACGGCTGCTCTAGAACGCGACTCCAGTCACACCCTTGTACCCCGTCACACCTCTTCAGATCAATGAGAGCCCGAAGCACGGTACGCCATAGTTGATTGGACTGTGAGCTTGCGTAATGTATGCTTTCTGGCGCGGTGATTGTGATCCATTCGCATACATTACTGGTGATGTCGAGATCGCGTGTGTCGGACATTGTTGAACGTTGGCAATTAGGCTGGTGTCTGAGAAAGCTGTTGCAATGGAAAATGTTGTCAGCTGCATGGATACTTATGCGTGCGCGAAATGTTTTCGCAACCGGTGGTACCAAGGTACACGCGCACGTTGGTACCCGCGATCATGAGCAGTTTGTGCGCTACCGGACCCGTCAGCCAATCAGGTGGTAGCTATATTTGACTCGCATCTGTAGTTCGCACATTTGGACCTCATCATTGGATGGAAGCCGGCCTAGATCTCAAGCTCGAATATCGTCACCTATATCACCTCTTATTCCGAGAAGAGAGTCCTGGGGTCATCTCATCGAGCGTTTGAGCGTTGGTCAGACTTTTTGTGAGACATTGACAACTGTAATACCATGACTTCCATGAAAGTACGTTCTACCCATGTCTTTTATCCAGTTAAACAGATTACCATTGATGATATCTCGCCTTTTGCGGCAAACCACTCGAAATTGTTCATATATAATCTGACGCACACATGCTAGAAAAGAGCTGAAGTGATGGTTTGGAACGACATATTATATTCACATAAAGCTATCCTTGTGCCACTCGGCTGCATCGGAATGAAGAAATGGAAGTGACTGAATAGGTCAAGGACATGAAAGACGCATTATCGTGAAGTTGCATTGCGAGAAGTAAACGAATTGTTCAAGAGAATTAATACGGCAGATGCATCGCTTTTAGTGCTAAAATAGTCCCCTCTTTCACGGTGTGTTACTCCGGTGACGAGCTAATCCGGCGGTCTAGTCCTAGTAGTCACCCTCCTTAACAGGGTTAACGCTAAGCTAATAAGCGAATGCAGCAAATGTATAGGGCTCTAGTGCAGTGGTTATATCTCTAGCGGGCTTTATTTGCAAATTAGGCGGCGGGTTAGCGTATTTAAGTATATTAAGCGCTCCGTCTAGTAAGATAGTTAGACAATTTCTTGAACGCTGGGATATTGCATGATACATACACGCCATTTTCGATGCGCCTCCCACTTTAACTTTATCCGGTGTAATGTCGGAGCCCATAACAGCATGCACTGCCTCGCGGATAAAGGTCCAGACTGTAGGCTGCTGATTCTAAATTTCGGCCAATAGCGTCACAGGTCCATTTGTCTAGTAGATTGAATAAGAGGAAAATGCCTTAATTGTTTAAAAGGCGGAAGGACAGAATGTGACCGTTAGTCTCTTTTTGTTTGACAGTGGAAAGCGTGTTTCGGGACCTTCGGGCGAGTAATCGTACGTGAGACCCAGAATTCTGCCTGAATTACACAGATGTCGATCTCGATTTGAGTAGATGTTATTGCTGTTCGGGTTCGGAAGAAGGCAAAGAATGTGTTATTGATGTCGAAGGTTGAGGTTCGTTTCTCGTGAAATGCCGTTTTTGCTTCAACGTCATCGGTGGTCAGGCTGGTCAATATGTAATTAGAACATTCGACTCGCATTTCAATTCTGATATCTTCTTGCACATTCTGGACGCTCGTATGTAATATGTATGTATATAAACGATTGCATTAAGAAAGCTTCCGTTTGACGTGTTACCGATGGCCTTTGGAGACGAAGTCTGTTAGGCTGTGGGTGACTCTGAAAGACCACCGATTCAAACTTTTCCAATCCCCACAATGTACACGCCCAAAGTCACTCGCGAGAACGCCTTGAGTTCTCGCGTGAAGCCCATCGCCTCTAGTGAAAAGCTATGCGCGTAGCTTCCATCCAGACGCGAGGTGATGATCTATCAAGCGCACCAGTACTCCAGTTCCAACATCCACTCAAGCCAGCTCGAGCTCAATCAGCGAATCCAAACTATGCGGATGCCGCCAAACACCCATCATCTTCAACCCCACGCCTTCATACATCCTGCGATGCTCCTCTTCCGTCCGGTGTCTTGCCCCAAGACTAGCCATGAGCTCCCAGTCCAAACACGCTACCACGCATTAGCAACCCATCACACTATCACACCATCGAGCAATGAGAGTGGAGAACTTACTCTGCACCCAATGCGCACCCTGATCCGGCACGACGAAATCGTTAACGAGAACCTTGGAATACCCTTTCGTCATCGCCGGCACAATCGCTTTCAGAATCTGGGTGTTGACGTCGTCGTTCCAGTCTTGTATGATGGAATGCAGATAATACGCCCTTGCACCCCTGACAGGCTGCTCAGTCAAAAAGTCATGTGGCATAGCCCTTGCACCATGCCCCATCTTCGCCAATTCCACAATCTCAGGTCTATCCTGCAACACCAACCCCCCCGGTAACCGTCCCCCAAACGCCTCCCTCAGCCCCTCAACATCATGCCCAGACCCACCCCCAACATCAACAAGAAAAGGCTTCCCCGCCTCCGCCCCATCAACCAACCTCTCCTTTACGGGATAATATCCCGCCTCAAACCACCTCGGCCTTCCTTTACTCCAACTCCCCATCATACTCGCAAACCTCCTCCCCATCTCAGGATTCCGTTGCTGCATGTACTCAAAGTAATGACTCCCCTTACAACCATACGTATGCTGGAACGGCGCATCAAGACCAGAGTCCGGACACTTCCAGTCCCTGGCTTCGAAATAAGATTTCATGGAGTGGTGCACAGGCTGGAAGTCCTCTGCGATGAATAAAATAGAGTCTTGGTATGCTTGCTCTGCGAAAGCACTAGACGTAGGTGTATTAGCGAAAATATCAGGGCCGGTCTCGCGGACTGTGCCCATGGCGGCGAGGTGTCGCAGCATGCGTGCGACGATGACGGGGTCGATGTTTTTGGAGCAGTTTTTGGAGCAGGACTTTGCGATGGAGAGGCTGCTGGCTCCGGTTTCTGGGACCGAGTGCATGGCTTGGAAGAGCTTGACTTCGACGGCTAGCCAGAGCGTGGTTAGGTGGGTGGGTTGGGCCCAGAGTATGTCCAGCATGTTTTCGGATGGGTGGCTGACTTCTGCGATGAGGCTACGGCATGCGTCTAGTAAGCCTTCTCTTGCGCCGGTTGCACCATTTTTGAAACCGGTGCTGAGGGAAGCGATGTTGTCGAGCAGGGAGAGAGCAGCTTTGCTTGGGGTTGGATCGGCGGCCATGATTAAGTCTGGGGAAATCGAGCGTTGTGATGGTGGGAAATAGGGAACACTAGCCTTGCAGTCTGATTGTCGCGACGAGTTGTCGGGATGCTAGTAGTACTTCGTGCCCCTCATCCGTCGGACGAACGTCTGCCGAACTGCTGACAGGTGGCACCCGCGAGGCGTGGTGGCGAGGCGGCGGGCTGCATGATGACCCATGTTGTGCCTGGGTTTGTGATCCTTCCATCTTTTCGTTAGCCACTCCACCAGCTAACCTATCCGGACCACTGTGTGACGTGTGACAAAAGGATTGCCTGTGTCACGATAGGATCGTTTGTAATCGTGTCGCACAAATAAGACGTTGAGGCACGGGGTGATGGAAAGAAAGTCGATACTGACAAGTTGAGTATGGTTGGGACTGTTCAATGATTGAGACGTCGTAATATCGGGGTATCATTTGAATCATAAACTAACTATCTTTTTGACCTTACGTGGTCTTTTGCCGCTTCTTCGCTTTGGAAAGCGCCGATGTTATAGCAGCGAGCTCTTTCTCCACCACCTCATCGTCTTCGCTTTTGTCATTATCGTCGGCTGCTTCGTCAACGTCGGCGGCTTCTAGTGTAGTGCCACCTTCTTCGTCATCATCCGACACCTCCTCCTCATCATCGTCCTCGCCATCCGTTTGTAGGCCATCTTCGTCACTAAACCCACTGAAGTCGCTATCGTAGTCGGACTCATCTTGTTTTGCACCAGCCTTCTCACCGGCCTCACTCTCACCACCTCGCTTCCGCTTCTTGCTCATCTCACCGAGCTTGCCTTCACGCTTCGCGTTGATGGGTCCGCTGGTTGATTCTTCGCCCTCCTTGTATGGTGGTGGGGTGAACCAAGGCAGCTTTCCTCTTATCCAGTCGTTCAAAACCATCTTCGCAGCGCCGTCAATATCAGCTTCACCGCCCTTCAGCAGACGACCGCTCTTGCGGCACAGGTTTTCCAGAAAAGCGACAGCATCGCCTTTGTAGTCTGAATCCTTGATATCGTACGTTCGCTGGAGATGCCTCGGTTGTACCCGCTTCAGAACTTCTTCGATATATTGTGCTGGGTACTCGACGTTCTCGACACGTACACTACCGCGAAGCAGCAGATCCGTATCGGTGTCGTTTTGGTTTGGTGGTACAATACCAGGACAATCGATCATGTAGATGCGCTTCATCAAGGTGATGTACTGCCACACCTTGGTTTCACCGGCAATGGGCGCGACGACGCACACCTTCTTCTTCCGCAGAGTGTTGATGATGGACGATTTACCGGTGTTCGGGTAGCCAACCATACCCACGGAGACCTGTTTACGGTCGCTGTGGAGAGAGCTGAACTGGCGGAGAAGGGCGATCAAAGAACCCTTACCGAAACTGTTGTTGATGGAGGCGTGGAAAGCAAGAGTCGGGAACTCTTTGCTGAGATGACGAACCCATGCAGCCTGTCAAGTGTCAGTGCGTGGTCATTGACTTAACATGATATAATGCGTCGACGACGGAATGTGCGAAATATTACTAAGAGTACCGCCATGAAGCTGCGAGTGCAGAGACGGTCCTCAACTCAAACAAATCACGCGTGACTCTATTGATCGGCAACCAAGACGGTTACCAATCGACCCGCGATCAAGACGATCTTAGGCCAGCGAGCCACTTTTGCTCTTCCCAACTTGTAACAGAACCGTATTCATGGAATAGGAAAAGGTCCTTGACTTAAGGAGGGTGTGATTGGTGTAGGGGGTAGAGAGGGGGTGTGAACTTACAGCAACCTTGGAGGGAACAAGATCGACCTTGTTGAGCACAAAGACTAGATGCTTGTGAGGTGCCTCGGTGCGGATGTACTTTTCGACGGAGCGGCAACGGGTACCGTCAGGGTCACGGGCGTCTAGGACATGGAGAATGACATCGGAGGAGTCAATGACCTGGAGTATGTTAGATATGGCTTGCGAGAGGCGATGCTTGTAAGCTTACCTTGTACAGCTCGTTCCAGATACGCTTCGACGTGCCCTTCATGAAAATGAACTCGCGCGCAGATGTAAGCTCGCCGTTGGGGTTGTCGGCGAAGGACTCGTTCTGCTCTGCCTCGCCAGACGTACCCGACAGCAGCTTGGCGTTCTCGAGGCGCTCCACGTAGGTCTCGTGCATGCTCCCTGTGCGACCAGCCAGATCCTCAATGGAGCTGAAGTCGAGCTTCGGGCGCTTCCGTTGGGCCTTGGGGCCGAACGTCTCTGAGAATGGCTGACTACCGACGGCAATCTTGGCAGCGTGCTGCTTGAGGCCTGGGATTTGTCCTGGTGTCTCGATCAAGCTCATGGGGAGCTTGTTGCGCTTCATCAGGAACGTGGTCGGGTCCGAGGACTGCGCCTCCACAGCCGAGCGGAAGCTGTCGAGGGCATCTTGCGATATCACTCGCGTGTTGTTGAACCACTTCCTGTTGGGCTCGACACGGGCGACAGGCGCCGCGCGGTTCTGGTAGACAGCGGCCTTGGTGATGTCTCCCTTGGCATTGCGCTCGGCTGTGCCACCTGTGAGGCGCTTGAGAAGCTTGACCTTCTTCGCATCACTGCAAAACTATCAGTATACCTGTACATAAAGACCCTGGCGCAAAAGAATTGCGCGACATACCGGTAGAAGTTGGCGCCCTTGGTCTTGACATTTCCCATGCCATCGCCCGTCTTGCCCTCGCGCTCCTTGCGGTTGTACTCTTTCTTCTGGACACCCATGGCGACTGCTTCCTGTGGTGTTTGGCGGGTTGGGAAGAGTGAAGAGTAGATTTCGCGAGACATGGGCAACTTTTTTTGAGAGGCGGGAGCTAGCCAGAGTGGGGCCAAGGGGCTTGGCGCCGACAATTTCGAAGCAGGCGCGACGACACAAGCGCAGCACCTCCGCATCGCCGCATTCCAGTGCACGAGGCAGCAACACCGCCATGCCGCCCAGGATACCCGTCCGACCCTCTGCAGCCGCCAATGGCTGGAGTAGCAGCCTGTGTGTGCGTGCCTTCTCCTCCACACCTTCCACTCTCGCCCTCGGTCCGCAGTCGCCAAACTACATCGACGTGCCGAAGCCGCTGCAGCCCACATACCCAGCCAAGCCCACAGTAAAGGGCCACCTCCCCATCCCAAGAGATGTCTTCAAGACAAGGAATAAGCACCCAAAGGAGTCGGACATCTTCCTCGAACGGAGTACTAAGGAGCCCAAAGAAGTCAAGGCCCCCGGACCATACAGCCGGGATGTCGACTACCGGTTATACAAGCAGAGGCTGGCGGAGAAGCGGAGAGAGAATCTGAAAGAGGGTGTCAAGGCGCTGCACGAGCGAAAGGTCACATCAGAGGCCGAGTACATGGCCAAGATCCAGGCCATTGGTGCGAAGAGGCGGGAATTGGCTACGGCACCACGGCGCGAAGTCGACATCTTGACAGAAACCTCAGTCGCCAAGGGCATTCGCGACTTCCTTACCGACAGCCTGCCCCCGCGGCCCGACATCACAAAGGCCCGGAGCCGAGCATACCAGCGCCGAGTAGCCCGGATACAAGAAATCCGTGCCTCGCGCCTACACGATCTATACACCAATGCGCGCAAGTTCATCGTGGACGAACAACAATTAGACGAGGCGATAGAGAAGGTCTTCGGGTCTGATGAGCAGCCTGTTGCTTGGGACGCCAGGGGTGTCATGGGCCCAAGAGAAGATGGCAGGAACGGTCTCAGCCCATGGGATGGCCCTCTGCCCGAAGGTGTCGGCGACATGCTCAACAAGCTCAAGGGCGGCGAGGGTGTTGGCCTTGCCAAAGAGCGCGTCAAGAAGGTGGCCGAGGAGCTTACTGGTGGTAAGATGTAGGCTCAGTGCAGAGCTATGTATCATGTACTTCATGTGTATACCAATATTTGGACGTCTCGATGATTCTTGGCACGCCTCCTCACTTTGATCAATCACCGTGGTTCACCTATCACTCCGGATCTGGGCATGCGTCGCCAATAGCGGACCGCGAGCTAGACTGCTGAAGCGCTAGTGAGGTGAAGGAGAGATGGCGGTCCATTATCATCCACTCAACATGGTCATCTTGCGACTTCTAACAAACGAACCAAGTACATTCTAACCTATATGTCTTGGCCTAATCACCGCGAACGATCGCATTGGTAGTCTTCTGATTGCATCCACCACCCTCGCACCGCCCGCCAGTGAAGCCTGCCTTCTCTAGGGCAATCATTTCGAGTACTCACCCGGGTCGTGACCGAAGCCCTACTTCAAGCGTTTGTCAAGGTTCCCAACTTTACCTCTACTAAGGCGTTATCAGCGCTAGGCCAGCGAGCGTGATCCAAGGACCTATAATCTGCTCATACACTCATATATCTACTTGTCCACATTCTCCCACAGAACCCCTTCACAAGATTCACTCACTTACTACCTAGGCGTCAATTCCGCACGACCATTCAAGACCATCGATTGCCCCAAGCTCACCACTCTCTCTCTCCACCCAGTCTCTACCTTGATCTCCTCGCCTATCATATCATGAAACTCCTCGCCCTAATCCTCGTCTTCCTACTCTCCATCCTCACCACCGCGACCCCCCTCGCCCTCCCCTCCGACACCCCCGCCTCCACCCAAGGCAGCAAGCCCAAACACGACCCCCTCACCCAAACCCCCGCCCACGAACGCCGCGGCGTAGCCTACAACGACGTCGCCTACAACAAGCTCTTCCAAGGCGATGGAACCCACGTTACCTGGCGCTTCAATTGGGACTCCTCATCTGCCCTCTCACCTGCCTGGTTCCGCTTCATCCCCATGCTGCATTCACTGCGCGACGATCACACGGGGAGGTGGAAAGACAATGCCGAGGCGATGGCGAGGAAGAATTTTGAGGATAATGGGTTCGCGACGTGGTTGATGGGGTTTAATGAGCCGGATAACTGCATGTAAGTTGGCTGTCTCTGATAAGCGTAGACAAGGGGGCGGTTGTTTGAGGTATGTGCTAACTCTGGTGTCAGTCCCGACGCAGGCGGCTCTTGTATCGACGTCCCCACCGCCGTTGCTGGTTGGAAGAAACACATGGAACCGCTGTCCAACTTCAACAGCGCGATGTATCTCGGTTCACCCGCTGTCACCAATGCCGCAGCCTCCGATACCACAGGTCTGGGCTGGCTGGCCAAGTTCCTGGAAGCGTGCGATGGATGCACGATTGACTTTATCAACATCCACTGGTACGTCCCTGTTCTTCTTCAAAAACCTCCTTCAAACGTCCTCCCTCCAGCTCACGCGCACCCCTACTCACTCCTCCCCCACAGGTACAACACCCTCCCCAACTCCGCGCAAAACTTCAAAGACCACATCGCCAACGCGCGCAAAGTCGCCAAGGGCCTCCCCATCTGGGTCACCGAGTTCCGCGCCGAAGGTACCGACGACGAGATCAGGGCCTTCCTGGACGACGTCATGCCTTGGATGGATAATTCGCAGGATATCCATCGTTATGCGTATTTCATGGCGAGACCGGGCAAGGGCATGTTGGTTAACGATGCGGGTGATGGGTTGAGTGATATTGGGAAGGAGTTTGCGTTTTTTCATAAGCATGAGAGTGAGAAGGATGGGAAGGGGAAGAGTGCAGGGAAGGGGTGGGATGGGAGTAGGTGGTGGGAGGAGGGAAAGTGAGTTCGCACGTGAGTATTCCTCCTGGGAACCCGGGTGTAATGGAGACAGAGTTGTGATCTAGACCAAGAGTCTGGAAGGCGTGGGATGGGAGGGTCATATCTCATTCATCATTTTTCTTACCATCTCACTCATATTATATATCTAACAACACATCTCTCTCCTCAAATCCCCAGACTCCAAGGCTGTCCAGTTGCCTTGACGTGATGCCGATAGCTTGCGCGTAGCTTCCAATCGGGCGCCTCTCGGATTGTTGAGAGACCCGGAAATGACCTAGTCTTCGCAGCGCCCTAACTCCATCTCCTACTCGGTCTAGGTCGTGGCAACAGCAGACCTTAGAATCTCCGACGTTCTCGTTAGTACGAGAGGGCGCAACGAGGTCTCTGGTTACCGACCCCGCTCTTGGCAAACGTGGGGCCTTGCCCAGCCCCCAACACAGCCTAGCTTCGCCCATGTCTCGACGATAACGCAGGAACGATAACAACTCCATGACTACTCGCAGCACAAACTTCACACCTTCCTTATATATACATGGCCAAGAAAGTAGCATGCACGATGTCGTGATGCTACATGAGGAGACACGGCTCGTCACCGGCGATATGTCAGATCAAAATGCCCGCGGATGTAAGCGGAGGAGTTGGGCGACGGCAAGAGTGGGATGGGTGAAAGTATAAAAGTACAAGCAGTACAAGGTGTACAGCATCGAGTCTTTTGTTTGTTGGCAGTCAATCATCATGCGGTTCTGTGACTTTGTAATTGCTGCTTCTTTAAGCGTGGTCGGCAACGCCGCACCCACAGCCTCCCAACCACGTCAAGCAACAACCGCTAGCGAACGACTCGGTCTAACATGGCTGGGCGGTAACAGCAGCCTCCCCAAAGTCCTGTACGTGCAACGCAAAATCCCAACATCCGTATCACCATCTAAACCGCCCACAGCGTCCTCTTCACCGGCGGCACCATAGCCGGCGGCTCCATCTACGGCGCGCTTGACGACACGCAATACGGACAGCTCAGCCAAACCGGCGAAGACATCATAGCACGCAACCCGTACCTGCTCAATAACACGCAACTCGCCGTGTCCAACTGGACCACCGAAGACGATGGCTCCACCGGCACAAACGACGCTCTAGTCATGAACATGACGCGCTTCGCACACGACGCGCTCTGTTCACCCGACAGCGACATCGTCGGCGCAGTATACACGCACGGCACAAACTCGCTCGAAGAAACAGCATTCCTCATGGACTCACTGGTCAACTGCGGGAAACCCATCGTCGGGACAGGCAGTATGCGGCCCTTTACCCACCTCTCCTGGGACGGAGAAGCGAATTTCTTCGACGCAGTCATGCTAGCTGCGAGTCCCGAGTCGCGGAATAGAGGACTCATGGTAGCATTCAACGCACGCATCATACCTGGGTATTGGGTCACGAAATTGCATTCGACCAATCCGGACGCTTTTGGTCCTACGTCTGGTGGTGATTTGGGCATCTTCATTAACAGTTTACCGGTTTTCTTCAATACACCGAGTCAGCCGCTGTGGAAGTATTATTTCGATGTTGGGACTGTGAGTGCGTATCCGACGTATCCGACGTTGCCGAAGGTGGATATACTGTACGCGGCCCGCGAATTTGATGGAAAGTTGGTACTGGATGCGCACGCCAACGGCGCGGATGGTGTTGTTATTGCCGGGACTGGAAATGGCGGTGTGCCGAATGGCGGAGACGAGATTGCCGAGGCGATGGAGAAAGGGCTTCAAGTCGTTGTTGGGACCCGCAGTCCGCATGGGCCGTCGAGTCCAGCGCGGATACCTTCGTTTGCAAAGTCAGGATTTGTGCATCCTATTCAAGCGCGGATAATGTTGCAGCTGGCAATTGCGAGTGGGATGAATATGAATCAGACGATTGATGTGTTTGAAGGGGGGTTTAGGAAGGCTATTGGGCAGCCTTGGAGTCTGGGGAGTTGAGGATAAAGATGTGGAAAATTGGAAGCAGTGGTCTTTCAGCGTCACTCACAGCTTAACAGACCCGTATCCAAAGGCCACCGGCAGCACGTCAGAGGTTGAAGATGATGGGGGTTTGGCGGTATCCGCATATTCTGGATTCGTTGATTGGGCTTGAGCTGGCGTGAGAAGATGGGGGAGTCTGGGTATAATGATCATGATGATATTGGTCTAACGCCTTATGTAACCTCCCAAGGGGCATTCCGGCGGGTACCGCCGGGGGTAGGAGTCTGGGTATGATCGCGGATAGGTGCATAGCTTCATTGGCTAATTTACGCCCTCTAGTTGTTTTCGACTTCACATTCTTTTCTTCTAGTTAGAACAGAAGGCTTATAACCCCTAGCACTCGTTGAAGTTCTAATGCTAAATTACAAAGCCGCACGACGATATTGTGCGCTTTTACGGCTGAGATCAGAGCCTTGCAACCTTGGAGGGTTGAGATCAACGATCTGCAATCACGTGTGCGCATCTACCGCGCCGCAATCTTACCCCGCATCGTGCAACCACACCTGGCCCTTCTTACTTCTCTCATCAACACATTCAACAATTTGTGAATTGTTGAACTCCGCCTGTGTCCTTGCTGAGGTGGTATGAACAACCAGAGTTGTAGCAATGGCTACAGAGCTTTGCAGCATCTGCTCACAACTTATCCCACAGTCTTGGAATCCGAAATCCTCAAGATTATATACCGAAGGGTATGACGAGTGGCATACGATTGGCTCCTATACAGAGACTGTGGTCAGGGCTCTCAGTCTTGGGCCTGGCCGCCGTGGTTGCGGTGGATGCGCATTCTTTTGTGCTATCCTTCAAGGTCCAAAGGATTCGAGTTCGAGCAGTATGAGGCTATCGGACGAAACCATTCTCGAGTTTACTGGCAGCTTTCTACATGTTAAAACACCTAATCAAGTAGACGGTGGCTTCTATGAACATACGATACCATGGGTTTTGTGTACAACGAATGAAAAGAACGGTGGGCGACTCTTTGGATGCGCTATGTGGCATGTTGAACTAAAGCAGATCTAGATCGAAATACTCACAAGCATGCATCCGCTAAAGCCCCAATACACAATTATCCATGGGATGTGAGCTGCTTCAGCCGTATCAAAACGTGGATTGAACAATGCGCGGATCATCTCAAGTGTCCTGAATTAGGGTCTGTAAAACTCCCCAACCGTGTGATCGAGATATCAAGCGATCCTTCTGTAGCGCCGAGTCTGCTCACCACCCACGGCGACATGGGCCAATACGTCATTTTATCACATTGCTGGGGGGGAAAGGTGCCAGCAAAACTCACCAAATCGCTCATCACTGAGTATGCCCAAGCTATAAGTCTGGAACTGCTCCCCCAAAGTTTCGAAGATGCCATTGAGATCACACGCCGGCTAGGATATCAATATATCTGGATCGATGCACTATGCATCATTCAAGACGACGCTAATGACTGGGAGCAGGAGGCACCAATGATGGCCTCATACTATGGCCTCTCCTCTCTCATGATATCTGCAACTGCGGCCATGAATAGCTGCGAAGGGATCCTCACCAGACGCAATGTTCTCTTCTCTCCTGGATTGGGTCAAGATAAGACTTTTTACTTTCACCATGGGATAGATCCGCCACATATAGATATTGCGGGTTGCATTTTGTCTACTCGTGGCTGGGCTGCACAGGAGCGAATGCTTGCACCCCGCATCATACACTACACGCAACAACAGATGATCTGGGAATGTTCAGAAGAATTAGTCTCTGAAGCCTGGGGACCACATGTCTTGGCATGCCAGCCCCAACGTCGCATCCTGTCTTTCAAAAAGAGTTGGCTGCAAGAATCCTTAACAAAAGCTTTCGTGGAAGCAAGAAGGCTACCAAGCACCCGACTCTGTAATGCTCCTCACGCTACGTACGACCGAGGGCCAGTTTCGCTTAAGGCATGGCACGAATGTGTTTGCGAGTACTCAAGACGTCGTCTCACAATGCCGTCAGACAAGCTTCACGCCGTGGCTGGTGTCGCAAGTCTGCTTAACGACAGCGGTGAGTTGGGCCACTACCTTGCTGGGATTTGGAGCGAGCATCTAGTGGACCATCTCGCATGGTCACTACGCGGAATTCTTACTTCTACATATAAGAACTACAGGGCGCCGAGCTGGAGTTGGGCTAGTCTTGATGGCGAAGTGACGTTCGTTAATAGAGAGAGAAGACAGATAATTCACACGTCTTTGAGCAACGAGGAAAAGGAAGAACGAGCCAAAATGTTTGACATCAAGCTCAAAGAACACCATATGATCTTGAGGGACAAGCGCAATATATATGGCGCTGTTCTAGAGGGGTCCTACATCATCGTAGAAGGCGCATGTATCACGCGCGAAGCACTCGATCAGCTCCTGATCAAACTGTCCATTGAACCCAGTCGCCCTGATGGTTTCAAGAAGAACCGCGGTATCGAACCTAGGTCAGGTTCTCGGTACTTTCAATGGAAATACAGAGGGCCGACACAGTATTTACGTTATGACGAACACAAGGAGGAAGACATCACATCACCCTACCAATTTTGTATGTACTTGATGACATCTAGTGATCGCATTGAAGCGCTTCTACTTACATGGGTCAATCGAGAAGAGAGGGTCGCTCGACGTGTTGGTCGGATGGCATTGAGGGAGCATGAGGGCGAATATTTTGATCATCATAAGGACGGGATTCATACTGATGACTGGCAAAGATGGACAGTGAAGTTGGTTTGAGCTATTGTATCGAGTTTTCATGCTGAGATCAAGGGCCGATGCCACAGACGACTGCAAAAAAGAGCATAAATACTGGTCAGTGCGCATTTCCATCTTGCCCGTCCTTCAGACTGTCTCCACCACGATATCATAGATCAATCACATGTGTCATTGTTCATTCACAGGATTTTCTCACGACAACTCGCTGAAACCTCCAAATATGTTGACATAGAAGCTTGTATCACTAAGGTTCGTGCGGACACTCCTATCGCCCACACTCAGACTGACCAGTCGCTACAAGGAAAAGACATGCGCTAGTTCCAAGAATTCAGGCGCTTACGTGAGACCCCTACATGCAGGCTATGTCTTATTCGCAACGAATAGTGTACCTCATGCATGCAGCCGTTTCCAGCTCACCGGATCGTCCAAAAGCGGTTGCGCATACTTTTCTTATGATAATTTCCAATGGTGATTGCTCTCTTTCGCTAAACCATCTTCTCCATGGCACTGCAACGACGTATGAGCACGCGCTTCGCATCAGGCTCTACTGCTGCACCAGTAGAAACTGCACGAAACGCTCTGCTGGCATTGCATACCTTGGTAGCCCACGCGCAGCTGCAAGCATATATCCTTGAACCTGTAGCAGGCAAAATATCAATAGAGGCGATCGCTTTACTGGATTCAGTTGCATACTTTCGGCAGTGTCATCTCGATAGGTGCCGTACTGCCTGATGACACGTCATACCTAGGTAGGAGGACGACGAGGCTCTGCCTGATCAGTGGCACATAAACAAGAGCAAACGTCACAAAAAAGTTGAAAGGCAACCAAAACCCCGAAGACATCATACATCAACCTCCCTCCCCAACACCAAAGCAACATCTCATACCCAACGCATCATCTCCCATACCTACCCTCGAAATCTCACAGACCCATGCCTCAAGTACGTACCAAGCGCACTCTACTCTACCCCACATTCAGCATAAACCTTACCACAGACTAATTTTACCGTTCATCTCACAGTTCAAAGAGGGCGATACCGTCAAGCTCAAAGGCGACGATGTAATCTACATCGTACTACGAGTCATCGTCACCTTGGGGGAGATCGCGAAGTACATCATCGAGAAAAAGTACAACCCAGTGCCTAGGGCAAATGAGTATGAGGTGAACGAAGGGGACCTAGTACCGGCGTGATGTGGCGATGTGGCGAAGGTCTTGTGTTGGAGATTACTACTGGAGATTCGAGACAGATGGGAAGCGGTGTGGGTATGGTTGGAGACTACGATGGCTACGGGAGGTTGGATCTTGTTAGTTGAAATGGGATGTCTCTACCCTGCTTCTACGTGACTGTGCCTCCTAGCTGTTGTGCTAGACTCGTAGTCGGCTCATCACTACATCCATCATTCCCCCGCTACTCAAAAACATTTGTCTCCTCCTACCCCTCACACCCCAAAGTACAAAACATCCATCACAGCCATCAACGTCAACAACTCAGATGCGCACCGCGCAAGCCACATGCCATCGCATTACTAACATCAATAACACCACCCCTTGAAGCAGGTCTACAAAGCCAATCTCTCGCTCCGTGGGGACAAGGAGCTACTGGAAGAGCTTCCGTCATATCCCGCAATACCTCAACGTCACTATTCCCTTCGACAAGCACGCCGTTGTGCCTACCGCGGGCACGGATAGGAAGAACAAGTCAAGGGCCATTGCGATACGCAAGGGCAATGACTACGATGTCACTGTCGGACTTCCCGACTCAGACGTTAAGTACGTAGACGACGGTGAGGATGTCGACATTTTCGCCGACTAAGTGTTGGGTGGGATGAGGTTGGAGTAGGTGCAGTACTGAGATGGGGGATGAAACGGCAGCATACTAGATACTTTGCTTATAAAAGAAGGCACTCGACCTTGAAATGAATATTTTCTTATTCTAGACCGTCTGCGCATCAATGTGACTATTCTCTTCTATCCGCGCATCGCTTAGCACTTGAACACCGCCGGTCCCGGACTAGTGTACGTCTTACTCCCCGTGTAAAGATTGTACAGAATCCCCGCATCATTCTGCTTATACGCACCCGGGAAGCTCACCGTACTAGGCGTCTTACTCGCCTCACCCCCCGTAACATTAATCTGCGCACACTCCATATAAAACTGCGCGCCCATACTGCTACTCGCGCTGTGCAGCGCAATCAACTCTCCCCTGAGCAGATACTGTCCGGGAGCAATACACTTTGGAATCGTGATCGTCTGAACACCTTTATTGGCGATAAGACGATCAACACCCCATTTCGAGCCGTCGAACGCGTCTTCAGCAATCTTGAACCACCCGCCGCCGACGCCGGAGTCGGTTTTGGCGTCGCTGACTTTCTTCATGTAGGCCATTACGGGGCCTTTGTGGGAGGAGTCGATTACGTCGGAGGGGCCGGAGGTGAGGGTGTGGCGCCAGGTTAGGGTGGCGGTGGAGCCGGCTTGGAGGGTTATGACGGTGGAGGTTTTGGCGGTGGGGTTGGGGCCGCCGTTGCAGACTATGTCGTTTGTGGAGACGTCGTTGATGGGCTGGGGGGAAGTTAGATGGGGGAAGGGATGGATTGGGGGTATGTGGTGCGTACGCCGTCGTAGGAGGGGACGCGGACACCATCTCCTACTGCGCCGCCATTGACGCTGACGAAGATTGTGTGGGCGGATGCCGAACTGGCTGCCGCAGCAAGGACAAGTGGGGTGGAGAGCTTCATTGTGATGGTTGGTGTTGCTTCGGGTGGAGGTGCTTGATGTTTCAACGTTGCTGTAGTCGGGGTACTTATAAACAATGTCTTCGCCCTGACGTTCAAGATCTGAACCCAGACCCAAGGTTTACATATATTGCATGCTTGGTGATATCGCATACACATTCCCAGATGCGAACAAGCCTACATCCTGCACCCCAGATGAGCGGAGCATTTCCTTCGCGTCCACCAACCGCATCGCGAGCCGCCGCGGCAAAGGCCTGAAACCGCAACGCTATACCAGCCAAAACCCGGATGAGAAAGGCCGTATCGCTGGAGTTGCCACGCGATTATATTAAGCAATGTAGAGCGTGTGTCGAATGTTCTTAGAAGTCCTAAGCGAGGTTGTCTTTAGCCAATGGCTTAGCCGTGCGTAAATTGAAGGCGCCAAGCTCCCGAGGATAGAGTGCCGCCCCATATAAAGAGGCTTGCTTGTGACCTGGTTGACATGTCGGCGCTAGTAGAAAAGTGCCGACCGGATCGTGATCGATGGTCGATTATCGGGAAGATGGACCGCCTAGGATGCGCTCAAGCAAGCGTGATGTCTTGAAGCTCAATGTCTTCCTTGGCCAACACTTCGCCCTTCATAATACCATGGACGTAAGTTTCACCAAGCAGCTCAAATTTCTCGGCAACTCCTTCGACTTGCTGCTTCCTGATCACAAAAGGTACACATGCCCTATCGAAGACAGCGAGCTCATCACCGACTTGCGCACCCCTCGGCACTAATGCAAAGTAGCCCTTCTCGGTTACAGCAAAGCGGCGCATCTTCAACGCGGCCCGGTACGCCGTTTGCAAGTCTTCCAGGGTCTTTGCCGGCTTCCTGGTCTTGAGACTGTCGAGATTGAAGTGACCCTTCTGCCGCCGCTGGCTCATAGTCTGACCAGGTAGGCATAGGGACTTGCCTGTCGTGGCATCTAGGATGAGCCCGAATACCTCGCTGTGGTCTGCATCTGGTGGCGCAACGCCAGAGCCATCGCGTCCCGCCAGTAGTGTGTGTAGAAAGGCGTCGTATGTTGAACTACCTTGTAAAAGGTATGTGTGTGTTCGACCAGCGCCCATGACAAGCTCGGCGTAAGATGCTAAATCACGATTGCCCCGTTGTGGATTGTCGATATCAAGAAAGGGATCCTCACTGACACTGCCTAGGATGGCAATGGTGTCGAATGCTTTACCGCTCAGTGTGATCTCTTGCTTATCTTCGCTCACGATAGCCTTGGGTGGCTGCGCGCCGGTGACGGGCCTACCACCCGCGCAGTATACAGCCCAAGATCTTGTCGAATAGCCAAATACGTCCGTTACGCGTGGGGTGCTCCAGTCTGGGACCCAAGACGGCTGGAGCGGGTGTTCGTGATCGACACAGCTTAATAGTTCGTAAATGCGATCAGGTACTTCCGTCAGACAGGCCTCGTGATAGACCGCTCTCGCAGGAACATCGGGATTGTAGTCGGGTACGATATCGGCATCTGCTATACCCAGCACACCGTAGATCTTGTCTTTGGGGTTTGTCGCCTGCGCATAACGTGTAGAAACCAGAATGGTCAGTAATGCTTCTTTCGTAACGATTGTCAGGCCATGTACGCGCTCTGCCTGAACAGAGTTCACCACATCAGCACCATGCGGCGGCAATGCTTTGACATCTGCTTTCGTGTTGTACTTCTTATCCAGCTCAGCGTTACCAGTCAGCCAGCCGAGCACATGCGTTTCTGCCAGATCATGACACCACGCAGCAAAGTCGTCCCAGCACACCTCAACCTTGCCGCATTTGACGAATAGATGTCGCGAAAGCACGGCTTCCTGGATGGTCCACAGTCTGCCGAACCAGGGGCGGCGCAGGACTTGACGAACAGCCCACCACGCTCGATCAAGGCTAGGTGGAAAATCCAGCCTCTCAAAATCCGCTGGCGTCACTTGCGCATCCGTCCCTTGTAACCGCACAAAGATAGTCTCCATCAGATCGAACGCAAGAGCTGAGTCCTCTTCACCGTCATCACCGAGCCATATGAGCGTGTTTGTAGCATGTGTGTAGACCAAGCCCATCAACGGGATCTGCTGCACCTTCTCCGCAATATCGGGCTGATTGATGCATATTTGATCCGTCCACAAGACAACGCTATGCTCAGTCGATCTCAAGTGGTTCAAAGCTCCCGCCAGGCTTGCGGAGATGTTCAACTGTCCATGTTCAAAGGATATGGTATCCTCGAAGATTGGTGGGCCCCAGACATAGCTGAGGGCAGTGTACCACACCGGCTTGCCTGTGTCGAGTGATACGGCATGATTGGTATGTCTGGTGTAGGTCAAGGTTCTTCGACTCGTGTTTGCTGGATTGTCGAAGGGCTGTGTATATTGCTCCTCTCTTGCAGGGTGCGAAAAGTCGATGCTGACGATATGTAGAGTGCCTCGCAGCGGACTTCCAGGCTCTCCAGGATGCAGCTCCAAGACACGGATTTCGCCTTCTCCAAGAGGCTGGTAGAGCTGTGATGATGGTTCATGCGGTGGGTCGCCACGCTGGCTCCACTTCTGCACCACGAAATCCTGGACGTGAGTTTGAGCGATCTCATCGAGCTGCCCATCTACGCCGCCTGGCCCTTCAAGGCTAGCAGCCTGGAAGATGGATGTTTTGGAAAGCGCAGAGAAGAAACAGTTGCAGTCATCTGGCGTATGGCGAGTTAGTAAGCGATATCGGCGGTATGAGCTGGGGTGGAAGCACTGCACCTAGCGCGTTCGTCGCGCATGGACACGTCGAGGCATGCTCGATATGCTGGTACGATTTCTGAGGATTAGCCATGGTGTTGTGGTGTTGCTGGCGTGAGAAAGGGAGTGAGGTGGCAGTTTCAGCAGGTACGACATTTGGGACTAGGCCCGACTGGGAGTGGGGGCAATTGCGACAGAGGCAGGAGGTGGTGACAACAAGTGTATGAGAATTAGTAATTCCTGTATATTACTGTGTTGGCGTTAATGAAGTGCTATTAAGACATGTGATGGCTGCTTCGCGTACCTTTGGAGCGCTACCAATAAAGTCGAAGTTTCTACCTTGCTTCAACTATGCGTCCGCTGCATGCTCACGACGAGCTGCTTCCCAGGATGAGGACAGTCAGCATTCAGCTGAACAACCAGTCACCACATATTGCCGCTTCAATCCAGTCCCAAGAACTGCGTGATACCATGGCCCTTGGCTTGTCCGCCTTTGCCCTTCTTTCTCCTCTTGCGCTTCTGCTTGGGCTCATCGTCCTCACTGCTGTCGTCCATATCCTTGTCGCTATCGTCGCTGTCTTCGCTCTCGTGATCTCGCTTGCCGTTGGTGGTCTCCTCGTCGTCTTCGTCCACGTCCTGCCAGGTCTGCTCGCCCCAGACCTTGACGGTCTTTCCACCACTGCTGATCATGCGGCCAGTGACGTCGAAACCCAGACCAATGACGCTCTCCTTAGCCAGCTCGTCGTGCTTGAGCTCTGCGACAACCTTATTCGGGCCGAGCTTAGCAAAGCGAATGTCTCCGTTGCCCAGCCCCACGGCGATGTGCTTTCCGCCGGGTCCAACGCCGTCTGGTACGACAGTGAGGGAGTCGAGGCTCTCGCCGCCTCCCTTAGAGCGGTCGACGATGATGCGCTCGTCTTGGTCATCCCAAACTCCGCGCTCCCAGAGTGTGAGAACACCGTCGCCTGCGCCAACGATGACCTTCTCGCCTACACTTGAGCCCTTCTTTGGTAGACCAGTCACGATGCACGAACTGAGCAACTCTTCTTCCTGGTCCTCACTGCGGACCATGACACCTCTCCGCAGATCCGTGACGGCCAGTGTGCTTCCTCCCGTTGTGACCCATTGCTTGGCCCAGCCGCTGGTACTCGCTTGTGTGGGCGGTAGAGGTGTGAGGGAGGAAACGTAGTCGTCGTGGGGGCGGTGTGTGTTTTCGGGCTTTAGGGAGACCTTTTCGCCGCCCTTGAGGTTCCTAATGTCGTAGATGTGCAGTGAGCCCGAGTCGGTGGTGAGGATGAGGGATTGGGGAGAGAGCCCGTAGACGAGGGTAGGCGCATCGATGCCGCCATTCGCGCTGTCGGTGTCAGTATTGCTCACGTGATATACATGTCTCTTGTGCTTACGGATCTAGCGGTACACAAATCTTCGCAGTGACCTGGCCAGTCATGCAGTCTGCGACCTTGACCATGCCATCTGTGCCTGCCGAGTACAATGACGTGCCATCGACGCTGTATCCGAGTGTCCGACAGCTTCCCTTGTGTCGCCGTGTGTCCCAGAGCTTGTCTATGGTGCCGAAGCCCTTTTCGGAAGCTATCGTCTCGTCATTGTCGTCGTCGCTTGCGCCCGAGGGCAGCCTGAAGGTCTGCACATGGCCGCTAGCCAAGCCGACGGATATGATAGGCTCCTCTGGGTGGATCGCCTGCACAAAGATATCGTGCTCCACCGGGAGCGCGCACAAGTTCTCGAACATCTTGGGTATAAAGATGATGCGGGAGTTGGTTGAATGCATTTCGCGACAGCTACAACTGGAATTTTTGTGGAGCCGCGGCTCAGCTCTTGCAGGGCAGGTGCAGCCGATGGTCTTGGCAGGTACACACACACAAGGCGGGCTTTCACCTTCCTGCGAGACTCCAAAACCACCTGCACTTGCGCGCAGTCCGTTCAGGCTTCGACTTCATCAATAGTATATCCTCCTCATGGAGATTAGCCCTGCCAAAAATTAGCTTGACCTCATTCCAGACAAAAGGGTCAACATACGACCAGGTCATAGAACAACAGCAGGTTTCTCATCTCGATCCTACCAAGTCTAATATATGCAAAGTCCTTCACTTCAACTCGCCATTCCATCTCAAAGAGGTTCGACAGCACCGCAAACCGGGTCTACGGACCACAAGTGCGTCTCTCGCAGCATCGTGAACATCTTGAACAAATGTTCCCTTCCAATCACGGCCACGCCATACAACACGCCTTTTCTCCACCGGCACTTTGATCTTCATTGCCCCATCATAACTAGTCCTTGGCCAGCGACGCGACAGGAAGGTCAACGTTCTTCGCCATGCGTTAAGCCTCGTCCGGCAATGCAGCCGAATCACGTTTATCAATGATTGGCTGTGAACATCACCAACATCTCCAACCATGTCCGCCGCTGTACAATCGGAGCAAAGACGTCCGACATCATGTACGTCTTAAAGAACCGCTGGGAACCGTCGTTCATCCGAACAGCATGCGTTGGATCTACCTGCAGTAATTGTATTCCTAATCTGCCATCATGCTCGCTTCATCGCTCCTTTACGGTCTCCTAACAGCCGCATCCTCAGTCAGCGCATACCACCACGCAAAGTCCATCAACTACACCGTCGTAACAGGCATCTTCCAACAAGACGAGCCCTCCACCGACCCCTCCACCTTCAACTTCCTCACCAGCAACTTCGGTCTGATCAACCGGACCTACCCCAGCGATTCTTCCTGCCCAGACCGCAAGCACTCAACCCAATGGCAGCGGCTCGCCCACTACATCTCCACCCTAAACAAGAAGGCACCGCGCAATGAGCGCTACGCCCTCTTCTTCATGGGCCGCCACGGCGAAGGCTTCCACAACGCCGCAGAATCCTACTTCGGCACTCCGGCGTGGAACTGCTACTGGTCTGAACTCGACGGCAACGGCACCGTTACCTGGGCAGATGCACAGCTCACCATCGACGGTGTCGAGCAAGCGAAGGTAGTAAACAAGTTCTGGAGCCACCTCATCAAAGACGAGAAGATCACCCCGCCAGAGACTTTCTACACCAGCCCCCTGTACCGCTGTCTCGATACCGCGAAGATCACTTTCGAAGGCGTGAAGCTGCCGAAAAAGAACCCCTTTGTGCCTGTTGTCAAGGAGTTCCTACGTGAGGGTATCAGCGCGCATACATGCGATCGCCGCCACAGCAAGTCCTTCATCACGAAGAACTTCCCTGGCTTCAAATTCGAAAAAGGATTCGCAGAAGAAGACCCATACTGGACTGAACTCTTCGCTGAGCCGCGCGCAAACCAAGATGCTCGCTCAAAAGCTGTACTCGATGATATCCTCAGCAATGATGATAGTACTTATATTTCCATCTCCTCGCACTCGGGTGAGATTGGAAGTTTGCTTCGTGGTATGTCACCGTTTCTTCAATGTCGTTCCGGCATCTCCGTGCTAACGAAACCCCAGTTCTTGGCCATCGCGAATTCCGTCTGTCGACTGGCGCTGCTATACCCGTTTTGGTCAAAGCATCGACGCTCAATGCTCCTGCGCCTGCTACAACGACGCTGCCGTATACACCGCAGAAGACGTGCGCTGCGCCGCCTGCTATCCGCGACTCGAGCTGCAATGACTGCTCGTGCTGCACTTGAGCGCATAGTTTAGTTCCTGATGTAGACCGAAATAGACATAAATTCCGATATTTACTCCACGATCTCAGCCACCAGCATTCCAAGCTCTTGCACCGTGTTCCAGACCTCCCTCTTTCCCAACGTTAACCCAGATCATCTCGTTTCCCTGCCGTGTCGATGTCTTGGATCTTGGCTTTCACGTCCTTATGAGTAATCATGCCCATTCGTGGAAACACGGAGAGAGTTACGTTGTGAATCTCGCCATATGTGCATTGTGCCGCACGTCACCGGTGTCAACTCCGCCTGAACACGGGGTACATCTGCATAGTGCACCGTGTAGACATGTCACTCCCAGCTCCCAAACATGTCACTCGCCCATCTCTATCCCGACTTCCTAGCGGCGTCATGCACGATCAGCTCCCTAACCTACTAACCTACCTAACAGCTAACCTCGTTCTCAACGGCTGGCTACCCAGCCACCGAACTCTAACTCCCAGCTCAGCCTTCGGCATGTCACAGATGATTAATCCTGGCCGATTGGCTCTTGTCCATCGACCCCGTCGGCGTTCGGCGTTCCCTGCGTACATCTAGTTCGTTATTCATCTAATTCGTCATTGCAGTTTCACTTGCCACTTGCCACCTTGGATACACTACTGTACTACTAGCTTTCAGCACGCAGGTCACAGTAACACGCTGCAGTAACACCCCTCTTCCCTCTTCCCTGCGTGCATGCCCAACCCTCCTGAACATCACCTCACACCACACCATCGGACCTTTTCCCAGACGATGATCTTAGCGATGATCTTAGTGAACTAGGCGAGCTAGGTCCCGCGTGAAGGCCAGACTGGCGGGTGGTACGCTAGGCGTCTAGGTTGTGATCGCTGTGAATCGGGCCTTTGTTTTCGCACTTCCGCGACTTCGGACTTTCGGGGTCTGGGCATGCTACTTGATGATAGGTCAGAAGAGACGGAACGGTAGGAACCGCCGTTCGTGATTTGAAGGGTTGTTTTGTGGAGACTTTGTAGATGGACGGTTGGGAGGCGTGGTGCGACGGTCACCGGTCGGGTGGTGTCGGCAGGCTTGGGGTTGGAGGTTGTTGCGATGGAGATGGGAGGTAGTGGTAGAGGAGGGATGGGATCAGTAGGGGAGATGGAAAGATGATGCTGGTACATGGCGTGATGGTGAGACGACAGTGGCGGTAAGAAGAATGTCTGGCAGTGTCATACAATCATAGTGAGGAATGATGGCGCTGCATGTAAGCTTACTTCCCCCCTGCTGAGGTGGTCTGAGGCTCTGCGGCAGTTGTAATCCGTTAACGACAAACTCCCTTCCTTTTGAAAGTGCGGCAAGCTTAGTGTTTCGCAACAAAAAAGCTAGCCTTGGAGTAGCGCATCGCGACGTCTTTTTCGACGTCATTACAATATCTAGATAGTTAACATCAAGTAGACTACCCATGTCGCAAACGGATCTCGCAACGTACGTTAAATAATCTCAGCGTTTCTTATTAAGTACATTACTAGTATATACAGGGGTATTTCAAAATGTCATGTCGCTCTTTCTCTTTGCTAATGTACAGGGATGGGGTATACAAAGATAAAAGGCCGTGAGCCGTGATGATGCGGCAGTTGGTGTCGTCGCTTCCCTGCCGTGGTATATATCCGAGTCAAGTAAGACCCAGACTCGAGCCGCTGTGGGGCGGTGTGCTTCCAGACGAACCCAGAGAGTCAGGCGAACCTGGCTTCTTTTTCCTCGCAGTGCTCGGTAACTGCGATTGCCGAGGTAGGTCGTTCGCATACTTTTTGCGGGTACACGATGGGCTTTTTTCGTGGTGGAGTGCAGCTGTGGGGTTTGCTTCTTTGCGCACGTGGAAGGACCGTGGTGGTGGGACCGGGGCGCTTAGACATGTCTGTGTCGTTGACAATTTCGACTGGGGTTACGACTGTGAGTGTGTGAACGCCTTCACCACCGCCGTTTGGACACGGCATTCGGTCATTTCCTTCACGGTACTCCGTTTCAGCTGGACCCGAAGCAAAGAGTAGCTTGCCGATATTGTGCAAATCTCCTCCGCGACGTAAGCCACATCGCATGTCTTCGTGATGACAAATTGGAAAATGTTGAAAGTGGGTATATTGCTGAAACTCATCATCTGTAAGGCGCAGACAAAACCGATCCCCGCTCTTCATCCGTGATGTAAAATGACTTGGAGACCATAATGCCGTTCTGGAAGTGGTCCTCTTCCGCACTGCTCCGAGCGCTCTTGATCCTTAGACTCCTTTGACTATCGTTGTCGGAGTTGTCCACACGCGTACTTTTCTTCGAGTTTGGTGGTGCCTTTCCGCCGTACCATTTATTCGAATTCGAAACAGGTTCGTCGTCGGAAGTGCGAGTTTGTACGGTGGCGGAGAGCTTGTACATGTCGGGACGGAGCTTATCGGCTTTGGAGTTTCCAGCGGCGTTGCCGGGTAAGGGGGCGGACATGCCGTATGCGGACGGACGGTAGGCTCCAGTTGGGCGTGTAGAGAGACCGAGCTTGTGCATGGCGATGAAGAATAATGGGCGGAGCGTTGCAAGGCTACCGGCAGTGATAGCGAGACCTTGTTCGACCGATGACCAGATGGCGATGTCAAGTGTGGACCCTGGCAGCGTTAGTGCCCAGTACGACAAGCAGCAGTACGGGAACTTACAGAGGAAGTCAGGAGAGTTAAAGTAATGTACAAATGGCATGCGCGCAATGACCGCAGCACTTGCGATGCAACCCATGGTGATCAACGGGATCAAAGCAACCTTGGTCCTCCTCTTCAACTGCAAGTGCCATACCAAGAACCCCGGGATGATGGCGAAGGTGAAGTCGGTGATGATACTGAAGATACTGTAGACGTAGCCGAGAGCGGTGATGACTGTGTTGTCGACGCACTTTCCTTCTTGCGAAGTACGGTCCCACATGTACGAGATTGGGTAGCACTGGAAGAGACAGACGAAGAAGAAAGTGCCTCCAGCGATAATCGAGACGCACATGGCACTGTAGATGATCCTGATTCTGTTAGCAAGTGTCGTTATAGGTTGCATTCGTTCGATTGCTTACCATGTGTGTAGTTTTCGAATACTAATCCGCAGGAGAAGGAAACCGATAGAAAGCTTCGAACATATCATAGATATCGAGTAGAACAGATAGCAAAAGTACCACGCATGCTTCGCATTTTGAACCCCCTCGATAGGCAGGTCACGATGATGTTTTCCGGTTCCATAGTGTATGCCGATGCAAGACGATGTGGTGTATGAAATGAAGAAGAGCTGAGGACTTAGTCAGATCGGACCCAGTTATCGTATTAATATACACTTACAGTTGCGAGAACCATCAAATAGTCATCTCGGCCAAATGCCTTAACCATACAGAGGCGAACATATATCCTCAAGCAACAAGCCAGGACTGCAGTGGTGACGAAGGCGATGTTGACTGCGAGCAGCTCGGGGCCTCTGTTGGGAATAGCCATTGTGGTGTGGTATATTGGCGAAGCAGTGGACACTCATACAGCGAGGAGGAGCCCCAGAATGAGCACACCGTTCGGTCGGTAATGGGGGGGCTCAGGATCTTTTACGCAGCTAGACACTTGACCGAATAAGCAGGGTGGAGACTATAGAAGACACCGCATAATGGGTGCCGCCACGAGTGAAGTGGGTCTGCGGGCGGGCTCCCAGGACTCGTTCCAGGGTCTGGTCCGTTTCAAGGAGCGACCATTACCAACAGGGTCGTTGTCCCGCGGAGCTCGGACACGGGACTATGGATTTGGCGAAGTCGTTCATGCGTTGACAGGGCACACGGGGACGCGTAGAAGCTGACGGCAGTAGTGTTGACTGCCGCAAACGAAATTGTTCATTGAACTCAAATAGGGACATGACGGAGGGGGATAGGAGATCAGCGTACACATGTGCAGCAGCTGGGCAGCCTCGTGCACATGGCTGACTTGTACCTCGCATAGGCTGGGACGCCACCATGGCTGGAAGGCAGCTCGCAGTAGCGAAACTCAAAAGCGCGGCTTGGGGAACGGCAGTGGTTGCTCTGTCCTGCTTTTGGTGGTGCCTAGATGCGTCCCGCTCGAAGGAGTTTCGCGATGTTCACCGGCCACGTGAAGGCTAGCCGAGAAGGGGATTAGTCACCGAAAATCTCGCAAGGGCTGCATCTTCCGTGCCTTCCGCTTCCTAGCTAGCTCCGACGCCCACTGACAGCCAAAGAGTCAACACTCAACCTCACAGACTCCTCGGAGCTGCCACTTGCTGCCGCTGATCGGCTGCATCATCGCGCAGTATCTCTTTAACCGTTGGTTTCAGCTATTCTACGCTGACTGCCGATTCTCTCGATGAGGAAGTGCTCTGCACCTCTAAAGACGGGAACTTGTAGCCGCTAGCCGGGCGGTTCCTGAACCTGCGTGGAGCCCCACTGACAGGTAGGTTTGCGAGAGCGAGAGTCCGCCGACACCGCCAGGCGTTCCACGATGATAGAGTGATTGTACTGTGGCTTTTGACGTTCAATTGTATAAGTCAAGACTGTCGCCAGACTAATCAGATGCCTCGGCTTCTTCACATTGAGTCTGCAGGGTTTCACGAGTATCTAGTGCGCGGACTGACTCGTCGTCGCGGGCATCGGCACTTGCTGTAGGCACTGGAGGACCTGGATCTAGCTCAGCACTTGCATCATCGCCAGCGCTACTATCGTCCCCTAGATGCAGAGTCCGTCGCACGAACAACCATAGTTCGCGACTGAAACCCAGACTTGGGATCTGGTATACAACAACGGCTAGTCGTCCGAACGCCTGTCAATTGCCTGTCCGACGACTACTGCTTCAATATTTCAACAAACAGGCATCGGGATTGAGTGCCCACGCGGGTAACGCTGGATGGCAGGCCGATAACTCTCGCAGGCACCATCCTAGCGATCAAAATTCCACATGTGGGCCCCGAATCCACAGAACAATGGCGACATGAGCGTCGCATGCATCAGGGTAGCACAGCACTTCCAAATTCCTGGAAACAACTCCGCAACCGTTTATCTCCCGATGCCACGCCCGTCCGGTCCTCTCCAAGGCAGTTGGTCTCAGCTCAACGTTCTTCCCGTTTGGTAAGTTCGTCTCAAACTGCCGAGGAACGCTCAACCAGGCCTCCCAACGAAGGTTTAGGCGTCCGGCGGAGCAGACTCCTGGGGGAAAACTCCGGCTTCTAAAGTGGCGACCGTGTATTGGAGAGCGGAGAGTAAAACGGTGTTCCCCTGCGAGTGCGACGAAGAACTTCTCATACCCTTGGCCTGTTGAACCCACCGTCGAGCCGCCCCATCGCCGCATTCGTGCAACCCTTGCTGTCGGGAGCAACGATCCTATGGTTGACTGGGTTGAGTGAAAATCTTGATCATTTCTGGACGACGCTCGCAAGGTTCAGTCATGGCAACAAACTTTGGTTAAAATGTGAGTCGGTACCTGCTGGTAACGGATGAACTTGCGGGTTTGGTGTCTAGTTCGCGCTTATGTCCGACGTCGTGTTATCCGTGTACACGATGGCGGACATCATGCCTTCGAACCAGGGACTCATTAAATGTTTGCTAGAGGCCTAACAACCGAAGCAGGCAGGTGATGTACTGCAACAAACGCTGTCGAGACACTGGAATAAGGGCAACATTCAACATGCGGACATGTTGGAGGCCGAGCCGCCGTCTAGTCCGAATGCGATTTCTGATGCAGCTGCCACGGCTGCTAAATCAGGAGGCGAATATCACAACCCGAACAAGACACGGCAACCCATCATCAAATGAACTGCCGATCTTGTAAGCTGTACCAGAACGAGGTATCCATCCTCCGTACACACACGAACAAATGGTCTACACAAGAAGCATAACATGACCATCATCACCCTCCAATCCAAGTACACCCACTCCGAAGGGGATCGGGATGCACTGTTGCATTGCTGTTACGGCCGAACTGCAGTGAGATATCCCCTTCTTTCCGGGCAGGGCATTGATATGTGCCCACCAAGATCACCACCTTGCTTTTGCAGCACATCATCACTTTCTTATCTCCAGATAGCACAACACACACAAGCATTCGCTTCTTGGAGTAGCAAGTCCATGCGATAACCTCCAAGTTTGCTTCTTCGCATCCTCCGCCCTCCTTTTCCCAAGATAAGCAATTTGCTTTTTCTTATGCATGCATGCGAATGCATATCACGCATATGTACATAGCATGCGCCAATGCGGCACAGTCTCGGGCGCACATCAAGGCACGACGCGCCCGCCCACTCACCAACACGAAGGCCCCCGGAAAATCCTAGCGGCTACGTCCCGCAGCCGCCCCAACCACGTCGCCAGACAATTCTCCGCATTGCACCGCCGAAGGAATGCCGTGTGGGTGACAGCGGCTGTGGCGTAGGTGTTTCCCTTTGGTGGATTGAGATTATGCAACCGCTGGAGGACGGCTGTGCCACTGGTAGTATGTTTCGCGCACAGTGGAGACTTTGCGGCGTGGTTGAATGGGATTGTATATGAGAAGGTGAGTGCGAGGTCGGACGGCGCACGCTGTGTGCTACGTACCATATCACGGACATCTTCGGACCGAGTAGTAATCAACAACGCATACAAACGGACTACGAAACCGGCTTACAGCGACACGTCAACTCGCGACTACACGCGCACCAACACAGCACAACATGCAGACCGTTCTCTCGATCGCAGGCCTCATCGCCTTTACATCCGCCTCCCCACTACCCTCGCCTAAACACTCAGAAGCCCTACCTCTCGTTACTCTCTCCCTCATCGGCTCGCCCTCACATTACACACTCGGCTCATCCCAAAACCCACAAATATCCACATCAACATCCAACAACGCATGGTCGATACACCTTCCCATCGATGTCTCCCTCGATCTCAGCACACGGCCAGAACACGTCCAGGCCATCGAGATACTCGGGGTAGAGAAGGGTACGGATCTGCAGGGAGGGGCAGTAGAGAGGGATGATGTGGATGTGGTGTGTAAAGCGAGGTTGGGGTGGGGCAGTGAAGGGGTGGTTGTGAGGATGGGTGGGGAGAGGGTTTTGGTTGATGGGGGGAAGGTGGGGAGGGTTACGGGGGTGGAGTGCTGGAAGGAGAGGGTATAAACTATATGTGCTTGAAAGGGGGAGTCCTCACAAGCAAAATATGGAGGAAAGTGGCATGTGGCTTTATTCATTGCGGTGGCGTTTGATATTCACATCCGCCTCGGAGCGTGTACATTGCTTCCGCTTTGTCTTCTACAGGCAGTCTTATAGCCTAATAATATAATCCCTTCCAAGTGTCTTGTGGACCTACCTCGCACGTATATTCATCATCATAATCTTCATTTTCTACGCCCTATAACTCTGCATCAGCTTCTCGACTATACTGATACCCATCTGCTCCTCCTCACTCATCTTCCCCTCCCCCTCCTCACCAGCCTTCTCAGAAACAAACCCCTCCTTCCGCATAATCCCCTCCATCATCCTAATCCCCCTCAACTCCTGCAGTGGCGGAATATTCTCCACACCCTCGGGATCTATCGCGTCAAAGTCCACACCATTGCTAGGCTTAACCGCACCCTCAATCTCATACAACTTATCCGGTGTAACAACAAAATCACACTGTACCTCTCCCTTCCTCGTCGGAGATACTGTTACCTTGTCCACGCCCAGCGCCGCCTCATCAACGACCTGACAGCCATGCGCAAGCGCCACAACGGGTGTCGAAGGGTGTAAAACACCTAGGTCCGATAACATCGCATATTGTATCTCGAATAGATTATGCCCTTCCCAGATCGTTACGCCCTGCGCGTTGAACACCAGACCGCCCGTTACGCATAGGTCTATCCGGAGCCCTTCATCACGCATCTGCGCCAGCGACACCGAACGCCCTATCCCAGGCTTCTCCATGCCGTCTAGACACGCCGCGATTTCGTATTTCGTCTCCGCTATCCGGCCGGGATGTAACAGCACGAATCCCCTGCGCAGTCGGTATGTGGCGACGAGCACTTTCTTCCCGTCTTTCAGGGCCCGGTATCGTAGTTGCTCGAGGCTGTTGTCGGGGGTGATGAGGATAGTGGCGGCGGACTTGTAGCATGGTAGTGAGACGAGGCGGTCGATTGCGGACGAGGAGTTGCGGAAGTCGGGGGTGAAGGACATGTAGTCGTGGTTGAAGCGCGCGTCGGGGTGGGCGTGGCGGAGGAGGGTGCGGTAGACGGATGCCCAGATGAGTTTGCGGGCGGAGTCGATGTCGGCATCGGTAGCGGAGGGATGAGAGGCGGTCATTGGGAGAGGGAAGCGAGTGACGGGTGGCTGGAAGCCTGGGTGGTGGTGATGCTGTGGGAGCGAAAGGCGGCGTGGTGTACTGTACTGTATGCGCCGTGCCACGCCGCGATGAATGGCGGGGATGATGCCTTTGTTCAGGCTGACTAACCGGGCCGCCTCATTGCCCGTCGTCTGCCATCTTTCACCCTCTAACTTC